TTTCATGAACTCATCTTTCATGTCAATTAATGATTTCTAAAGTAAAATGTAAATGATTGAGTAACTGTAATTAGCTAGGTAGAATATTGCTTACAGATGTGTGCAGTAATATTTTAGGTAGGTTCTGTTGTCCTATTCCGTAGTAGTTTTACTATTTTTTTCACAAAAAAAAAAAAAATATATATATATATATATATATAAGTTTTAATCTATCATTTCATATGACTTAACTATTATTAGATATTTTAATAATTTGTATTTTAATTATACATCTATTATTATACATATAAAGCCTCCAAAATATAAAAAGTTCTTTCCAATAGTAACTGAAGTAACAAAACTAGCAAGCTTTCTTAAGTGAGAACAATCCAAGAGTTCTATATATATACATACATATATATATATATATATATATATATATATATAAGTCTTAATGTTGTAAGTTGTATCTAAATTTTATTCTTATTTAAATATATTTTTTATTTAATGCATTGAGACAAGCCAGTCTAGTAGGCCCTGACGACCCATGATGCTCACCTGTCATACGAGTTGCAGATGTCGCAGTTCAACGATATGTTCCTTTGCATGCATCATGTTAACTAAACGATTTCTTTTTTTACTGTCTCGTTTTTGTCTTAATTAATGGCATTTTTTTTCAGATGTGATCTTGTGTAAATGAATCCCCTTTAGTTACCAGCATATCATGTGAACACTCTTCAGAATTATTTTTTATATATTAAGATTCGTTTGATCATCGTCCAACAACAACATAGGGTGCCGTTGGCTATCTAAGACCATGTGTCATTCAAAAGATGAAAAGAAAATTAGAAACTTCTTCTAACGTGTCTCATTATTACCTATATAAGCTCTTCTCCTCCCCCAACTGAGTTAAATATTAATTAATCATACCATAAGATTACTAATTTCATTCTCATGCGCATGTATATAAAGATACAGTATATTATACTTTGTCTGAGTTCACCAAATAATGGTTGTATAATATTTTGAAGAAAAAAAAAATCTTTGACATATTAAGTAACTTTTTCAACGTATTTTCTTCAATATTTAGACTTTTGATACTTTATCAAAAGCGTATTTTGCTCACCACTGTACGCAGCCTTTATATTTGGATTCGTATAATAGTTAAAATCTTAATATAAGAAATCAAATCACGCATATTAATTCCATCTGTTCTTGATATGCGAGCTTCTTAATCTTTCTTTTCGATCGATTTGCTCTTTTGACTATGGAAACCTAAAGATTTTCCTGGATCTGTTAATCTAATAAAGAAAGTAGTCGTCACTCGTCAATATTGTACTCCCAACAACATGTATATCTTCACTTGTGTAATTTGACTTTAATTTTGGCATCGATGGTCATCAAACTGTCATCGTTTTTTAAGTTCTAGTGGGTTGGTCTATTTAAATATAACTCTTCTAATATTAATCTTTCACAAAGAATAAATTGAATAATTATAATCATTAATTACAATATTAATACTGTTGAATATAAACAATTAATTCATTATATTTATGCATACATATATTTAATCATAGTTTTAATCGTTAATTTTGCAATTAATAGTTAAAACTCCTCACTTTACTTTTAAGGTGAACTCCGATCCACACTTTAGAAGACACAAATTTGATTTTTAGTTAAGCATCATTTAAGCATGTCATTTAATATGCTTTGTTTTGTTTCTAATCATACTAAAAGATAAGTGTTCCCAGCTGTAAATAAGTGCTGGGGTATACATAACCCTGGGTGGACCCATCTATTCCAAACGTATTCATATGTTACTTCTTTTGTTTTTCCTTTGTGGTCCCCCTTTTTATTCACACAATTTGTTTTTAATCCAAGTTCCTCATTAAACATTGAACCACTTCACATTTGTCTTACATATCTCTAGTAAAACTTGTTTTGTTTACATAAAGTGGGCCTGATCTGTCTCAGTTAATGAAGCCTCAAAATTTTCACTTTCCCTCTTTGTTGAAAATTTGTTAGGGAATATGCTAACCAAATCATTTGATCGAGTCCATAGATGTAGCAGGATTCATTAGATCACAATGAAAAAAAACTGCACATTCACAATCAATGCATAAAGGGATCCTTTTCTTCTAAGTAGAGAAACCCTATTGTCTTCACCACTTTTCCAACTTTGAAATATAATGTTCCAATGATTTGGACACACCCTTCCAATCAAAACCACATCCTTTATAAAGGGTTGGTTTGGGGGGCATTGAATGATGACCCCAAAATGAGTGAGACTCTAATTATCTACTTAGTGGTGCTCCATTATTTTGAATTATAAGAAAAGGATAAAAAGAGTGCTCAAAGAAACAAACATAGATGCCCCCACCTGATCGCATATTATGATATAGCTCATTTGTTTTTAGCTTTTTATCTTTTCACAGTAAGCTATCTGATCACACACATATGAAGCATTCAATCATGAGAGAATATAGTGTAAAAACGACAAGAGACATTAAACTCAAAAGGGCATGTAAATTAGATGATGTATTTGATAAATAAGCTTTTCAGAAAGTAATTAATGAATTTGACTGCAAAAGAGGTGCTAATTAAATTTTACTTAATCTCAAAAGTTTAAAACGTCACAGGAACTGCTGAGTGCTGACTGCGTATATTTCTTCTGATAATTAATATTATTTTTAGAATTAATATTCTCTGTGCGATCATCCCTATGGTACTTCTTTGAAAGCTTTAGTATAATTTGGATGTTCTTTCCACACACTTTCAACCGAAGCACTTCCTTTGTTTGTTATATAGTGCATTAATTAACTAGCAGATTCTTTTTGGCGCTTTTAATGCACTGGAGAATAAGAAAGTTGCATAATGAGAATATTTGCTTTTATTCTATAGTTTTTTTTTTCTCCTTTTGCTTCCTTTTAGTTCTTCAAATATACCTTAAACTCTTAAACAGATCCTAACCTTGGAATCGACGCTATATGTATACTTCCAAAATCAAGCCCTCCACAGACCTTAATTTTTATCCCTCCCATTTTCTCTTTTAAATGATAAATTTAAAAGTAAAGGTATATAATGATTAATTCCTCATCATGCTTCGAATCTTGCAAGGTCAGATTAATGTGACTACGTGAGGACCCATATGCTTCTTATTCACTTGGTCAAAGGACTGTCTAATCGTGCATTATTCTTCTAATTTTGCTCTGTAAGACTTCATTTTAAGTGTGTCTAAGTACAAATAATTAAAAAGGTGAATACAATTCAGGAAATTTAACAGAAACGTATATTATTATTTTTGGGATCAATCTTAGTCTAGGGCATCAAATTAAGAAACTGGTCAATAACAGCAAGTCACTGACTAGACTCTATCTCAGTATTATTATTTTCACTTTCTTCCTTCAAATTTAATTACCAAGCTTGGCTTGTTTATAATCATCGGAGTAAGCTAATTATTGAAGTTGCATATATATTTTCCAAAAAAAATAAAATTATAAGGATATTTAAGTATGAAACTTAACATTAAGTGGAGTTAATTAATTAATTAATTACAATCATACACTACATGCTATAGTACTATCTCAAGATCTGAAGAGATCCTAGCTACCTTTCATGCATCTCGACGAGAATATATTGTAATGAGGATAAAATAAATATTCTTTTTCCTCACACCCCAAAAAGAAAGAATGAAGGAAAGCAAAAGAGGATAATTTTAAATAAAATAAAGATATATATATATATATATATATAAATTGAAGTAATCTTAAAGGGTAAAAACATGTTATGAAAGTAGTCAAAAAGTTACATGGCTGAAAGTTGATAATAAAACTCTTACAGAAATGTTTTCTGGCATCCAAGAAAAAACAAATGAGGCCTCAGTGTTTGTATAAACGAAATGGGAACACAAATGAGTGTGCATAATAACAGTATATTTCAGTTCTGCTTCCTTTTTTTGGTAACACAAAAGGTTTTTTAAGTGGGTTGTTGGAAATTAGATGAGATTAATAGAAAAAGGTGATTGCAGTTTGCAGGAGGAGAGAGGAGAGAGGCTGAAAAAGATCCAATAATGCTGTGAAGGATAGCAGACAGAGAGTTGCTTTTCGGGTACTTGGGGAATAAAATGCTGTCTCTCTACGAGGATTGGCGTGAAGAGAGAGAGAGAGAGAGAAGCCCTTTATTTTCTCTGTCTCTTTTCAACAACCTGATTCATATAAATCAGGGGGAAAAGCCTTAAATAATGAATTAGTATATGAGAAGAGATTATATTTGTATAACCAAGATAGATATGAGACCACAAAAAAAAAATTAATGTGAAGATAAAAAATATTATTTGAATCATATATAATAATATATAATTTTTTCCCCATTTTTATCTCTTTTAACCTTCCTCACTTTCTCCTTTAGTACCTTTTTTTGAAATTCTGCTGGGGTTGTCTGCCTATTCAAAGGTTGATGTGGAAGGAGAGAAGCTTTGTGACACCAAGTAAGAATTTTGAATTGTGGGTCCCCTTTGTTGTGTTGTAATCTCTAATTTCTTACACAACCTCATTTGCACACATTAATTGAAGAAAGAACATAATTTAATTTTAAGTATATCATCTAATTAATCAATGGAATCAAATTGCTAACCTATACCCCTTTGTAATATGATCAACATGCATGCATATTGCTGTTGCAGCCATAGCAGTATGACTGCAATATACAGCTTTTCACCCTTTTATATACAATAATGCCTGATTGATACAGCTCAAATTAATTCAGCAACAATATTGTGCATTGAGCCAATTGGAATTTTTTAATAAAGCCATGTATCATTAGAAAAACAACATTAGTTCTAATTAAGAATAAGAAAATAAAAAAATGTGATGAGTTAAAAATCAGATAACACCTCATTACATCAGTAACACATGTTTAGATCAGTATGGACTGCACCTATAACTGTAAACTGGAAGAGAGAGAGAGAGAGAGCAATGAAGTGGAAATAAAAAGCTAAGAAAAAGCTGTTGCTTTAAGCTAAAACCAAAAGAGAATTAAACAAAAAAGAAAAAATGAAAAAAATAAATGAATTAAAATAATGAGTGACAAGAGGTATACTATAAAGAAGCAGTGAGGCCTAGTCTGGTGTTTCTAAAGCTTAACTACTTGCTCTAAGCTTTGTGATACAAACTCTCTCTTTTTCTCTCATTCTACATTTGTTCTCGTCTTTCAACTAGCTTTGAGTTAGTTCTTCTAATCACAAGAACAAGAACTCAAGGGGGTGGTGTTGGTGTTTGGAGAGAAAGAAAGAACAGAAGAGAGAAAGAAGCAGTGTGGTTGTGAAGAAAAGGTTCGAAAAGAAAGGGGGTGGTGTGGGGGGGGTGGTTTTATCCAAGTGATGCGCTCAGGAGCTTGTACATTGCAACAGACCCTCACAGCGGAGGCTGCTTCAGTGTTGAAGCACTCTCTCGGGTTGGCACGCAGAAGGGGCCATGCACAGGTCACCCCTCTGCATGTGGCTGCAACTTTGCTGAGCCTAAGAGCCAGTTCTCTCAGAAGGGCTTGCCTCAAGTCTCAGCCACACCAAACCTCACACCCTCTTCAGTGCAGGGCCCTTGAGCTTTGCTTCAATGTGGCCCTCAACAGGCTCCCAACCACTCCAGGCCCATTGCTCCACTCTCAGCCTTCCCTCTCCAATGCCCTCATTGCTGCTCTCAAGCGGGCCCAGGCCCACCAGAGAAGAGGCTGCATTGAGCAGCAGCAGCAGCAGCCTCTTCTCACCATCAAGGTTGAGCTTGAACAGCTTATTATATCCATCCTTGATGACCCTAGTGTTAGTAGGGTTATGAGGGAAGCTGGTTTTTCCAGCACTGCTGTTAAGACCAACATAGAGGACACTTCTTCAGCTCCTTCTGTTTTCCAGTGTTACAACGCTTCTGGTGGCGTTTTCTCCTCTCCTTGCTCTCCTTCTCCAAGTGAGAATCAGAGAGATAGCATCAACACTGTCAATGCTTTCAGACAGAACCAGAACCAGAACCACTTCCTGGCTGCTTACACTTCTGAGTTGAAGAAGGCCTCAGCCTCAGTGTTTCCCATCACTGAGTCACTACCACCAAACTCTTCCAAGGAGGATATCAAGGTGGTTCTTGATGTCCTCTTGAGGAAGAAGAAGAGGAACACTGTCATAGTTGGTGACTCAGTGCCACTCACTGAAGGCCTTGTGGGGGAGCTCATGGGGAAGCTGGAGAGAGGAGATGTGCCTGATGAGTTGAAGTCAACACATTTCATCAGGTTTCAGCTTGCACCGGTTTCTTTAAGGTTCATGAAGAGGGATGAAGTGGAAATGAGCCTCTCAGCACTGAAAAGGAAGGTGGATTCTGTTGTTACATCAGGAGGAGGAGGTGCTATTTTCTATGTTGGAGACCTGAAGTGGACAGTGGAAGCAAGTGAAAAGGAGGATGGGGATGTTTGTGGTTATAACCCAGTTGATCATCTAGTTGCTGAGATAGGGAAGCTATTTTGTGACTCCAACACTAAGGTGTGGCTTCTGGCCACAGCAAGTTATCAAACATACATGAGGTGCCAAATGAGGCAACCCCCTCTTGAGACTCAGTGGTGTCTTCAAGCTGTTCCTGTTCCATCAGGTGGACTTGGCTTGAGTCTTCATGCTTCCAGGTAATTAATTATCTCTTGCTTAATCACTTTCATTAGTTAATTTAATGCCAAAAGATGCAATTAATTTAAAATAGAATGCAAGCTAGTCTAGTCAAAAAGAAAGAAAATGGAGCATGTAGTTAATTCAAAGTTGTTCAGTGATGAACATTGTTTAATTTGAGGGGTTAATTTGTTTTGCATTTTGTTGCTAAGTACGTACGGTGTCTGGACTATGCCAGAAGCCACTGTCAAAAGCATGGTTGGTTGGTAAGGTAGACGTGAGGCAGTGCCTTTCTGCTTCACTTTGCTTTGTCAGTATATATAGAACCTCTTAGACATTACGGATTCACATGATACAATGTGTAGAAGGAACCGTATATACTTTACCAAAAGGAAAAGAAAGAGTTAAATATTCCTTGTTGCAAACATTTCATTTTCTCAAGCATGATTCACAGTAACCTTTTGGAAGGTAGCTAGCAAGAACGTGGTAAAAATGTGACAAGATTTGAAAAGTGCACTACCTAGCTTCTGATGCAGAATATATTCAAAACCCAAGTGTCTTTTTGTTTACCATTAGATGTTCATCGAATCTTCTCCCCTCAATTTGCAGTCTTCATGATTCAAAGATGACAATCTCCCAGAACCCGTCTCTTATGCTGGAAACAAGACTCTTCAAGGAGGAGCAGGATAAACTCAACTGTTGTGAAGAATGTGCCTCCAATTATGAAAAAGAAGCTCAGTTGTTCAAACCAGGCCAGAACAAACTGTTGCCTTCCTGGCTTCAGTCTCATACCACAGAAGCCCATCATAAGGTAGCAAAACTCAAGTTCTTTTATCACTCTTGTATAAAATGAGAAAAAAAACGTAACTCCTAAAATAATCAATCTCATATATAATCTTAATCTCAAATTTGAGATTATAGATTAATAAATGAATAATTAAGATTAAAAAATTAAAATCAATTTTTAAAAAATATAATTTGTGTATTTTTAATCTTAACTATTTATTAATAAGATTGTGAATGCTTATCATGTATGAATCATTAAACTAATTAAGTAGTTTTTACGCTGAGAATAAATGACTTAAATATTTTTTAAAAGTATTTTAACAAGTTCAAGATATAAATTTGTTAAGGTACTCTTTTTAGAAAATAAGTAGATAGAGTTTAATAAGCATGCAATGTAATATCAACTAATCTTACATTAGTCTAAATGGAATTATTATAAAATTTAATTAATTTATTGTGATTGGACAACTTTTTATAAATTTTTTACGATGTCTTTACATTAATTTTTGGTTAAAATACTGCGAGTGCAGATATTCATAGACAAAAAAAAAGTATTACTTATTCTTGTTACAATAGTTGAGGCTTATGAACAAACTCAATGTTTTCAGGATGAGTTAAGCCAGTTGAAAAGGAAATGGAACAGGCTATGTCAGTGTCTCCACCAGAGCAAGCAGCCTCAGAATCATTGGAGCAACAGTTTACATGGCAACCACAGTTCAAACGGAAAGATCTACCCTTACAACTCATCATACCCTTGGTGGCCAAACCAAGGAAGTGTGTTCACAGATTCAAGCTCAATATCTTTTGCTGATTCAGCTGCCAAACCCGCATATAGCTCCAACATTGTCCCTCGGTTCCGGCGCCAGCAATCATGCACCATTGAGTTCAATTTCAGTGATGTGAGTCAGAAAAAGCCATCACCACCAGCCTTGGACTCTCTCAAGGGCATGGAAGGTAATAACGAAGTAAAGATTACTCTTGCTCTTGGCAATTCAACATTCGGTGGTTCGGGGCAAACGGTGGAAAATATCATAACTACTACTACTGATAGAACACTGCGACGAGCTCATATTTGTAAACTGTTGCAGGAGAATGTGCCATGGCAATCTGAGACGGTTTCTTCCATAGCTGAGGCCTTGGTTGATTCCAAATCTGCAAAGCAAAGTGCTACTACTTGGTTGTTGTTGCAAGGAACTGACTCTATTGGGAAAACAAGGTTGGCACGTACTATTGCTGAATCAGTGTTTGGCTCAGTGGATATGCTCCTTCACTTGGACATGCTGAAAAGCAAGGAGAATAATTCAGCAACCCCGTTTGCTGAAATGGTGGCTGGAGCATTGAAGAGCCATGAGAAGCTTGTGATTCTGGTAGAAAGTTTGGATTTTGCGGATGCCCATTTCAGGAAGTTCCTTGTTGATGGGTTTGAGACTTCAAAGTTTGGAAATTTAAGTAGGAATGAAGAGAGTTCAGGCCAAGCAATATTTATTTTGACCAATGGTGATAGTAGAGGCAGTGAAGAGGAGAACAAGAAGGAGTCTGTGATGAAGTTGGTGTTGCAGGTAAATGAAACCAAGCCTACCTTGGAGTCTTCATCACCTTGTTTGGGTCAAAAGAGAAGGGATGAAGTACTGGATTTGTTTACCAAGGTTAAGAAACCAAGGATTGAGGAGAAGGAGGAGGGTGTATTGGTTTATGAACAAGGGAACAGAAAGAAAGTGTTTTCAAGGCATTCAAGCTTTAACAATCTTGACCTGAACATGAAAGCTGGTGAAGAAGAGGATGATGGGGAAGAGAAAACAGGTGGAAGCAGTCCAATTTCAAGTGATTTGACAAGGGAAACTGTGGCAGATCCATTGAGCTGGAATGGGTGTCTTGAGTCAATTGAGAACAGGTTTGAGTTGAATGAGAGGGAGAGGGAAGTGGGGGAGATGTTTTTGTCAAAGATAAAAGAGTCTTTTGAGGAGGTATATGGGGTGGTGAAGTTTACTGTAGAGGAGAGGGTGATAGAGGAAATTGGTGTGGGGTGTGGTACATTTACTAACAGCATGTTTGAGAAATGGCTGAAAGACATTTTTCAAAGCAGTTTACAGACAGTTAACTTTGGTGGGAGGGAGGGTATAGGTTTTACACTTTGTTGGGGTGGTAAAGGTGATAGGAAATGGGATAGTGGCTTCATGGGTTCATGTTTGCCCAACAATGTTCAAGTTAACTACTTCATGGATTGACTGACTTTGGATAATAGTGGGGGGGTTTGTAAAATGCAAGTGATAGCCTTTGTGTAACTGCTAATTTTCATTATAGAATGTGCTTGTTTTTCTTCTGTTTTCAAACCTTTTGCCAACCCCTTTCTTTTCTTACTAATCCAATAATTTTATTCAATGTTTTAAATAAATAACATGCAGCCGCATAGTGATCACAATTGTACCACCATAATTTTCCACAATGTCAAGTATCATGAAAAAATTGGGACACAATTCTAAAATCTTTGTTTTATTCATTCAGTTGGCAGGAATTTAACTGAATCCATGTCTGTCGGAGAACAAACAGAGGGATCTAGATTATTACAATGTCTAGCTGTTTGATCCATGAATTGAAGATGTTAAATGCATGCTTTGCAATTATGAGCAGCATCTTGTTATGAAATCAATGAATTTATATTTTGAGGGGGTGGTTCAGTTGAAATAAATTATCGGTAACATATATATCATGGACTTAAAGATGTAGTTTGTCCATTTGCACATACTTGGCCATGTCTTATAAGACACAATTATAAATGATCCATTTAAAAACATTGGCAAGGCTTTTCTAAAATGAACTTGTCTTTAAAATAAATAAGTAATGATGGTTTTTATTTAATTTAAAAGGTATTCTGATCTCAATTTCCTGAAATTTAAGGTGGATACAACTTTATTTGCTTATTTTGGGAGACCAATTTTGTTTCTGAATTGATCCTTTCGATCCATGTTTTAAAATCTCCTTCTTTCATCAGAAGAACGTTAATCCAAATTTGCAGGGGAGTATAAACAGTTTATGTTGGTATATATTATGGAACAATATAAAGATTAAAGTGTGCATAATTTCATATACTGGTGAAGATGAAGTTACAGCACCAATGATAATTTGTTAGACAATAACTTTAATGAGGATTTTTTATGCCAATGATAGTTTGCAACAGAAAATGATCCATCCACATAACATCTCTCCTCCAGTAGCATGTGCATATCTGGTGAGAGGTGTCCACTCTGCATGACCAGAGTGAAATGCTTAATTACACATTCTAAAGGTTTACCTATTTCATTAGCCAATTCTACTGTGATTCAATCCTTTTGTATTTCTCATGTATTAATTGGAAGATTATGTTTCGAGATAACAAAATCATGGAAATTTGAAAAGTCGTTGATGTTCCCTTACAATGATTAGGTGGCAAATCATTAAGGTTGTCACTGCCAAAAATTATTGTAGCTGTAACCAGTAGATTAAGTAAGCATTGTAATAAACACAGTTTTTACTTTTTAATTGATCCATGTGAAGTAACCATATGCCCATAAGGAACAAACTAATCATCTTTTTTTTTTTTACCCGTGACTTTATCACACATATATATACATTAGAAAATATTTTCCTCTTTAATATGATCAAAGGGTTTTTTTCCTTATAGTTAAGATGATTTTGTTAGTTAGAATATTTTGATATATACTTTAATATAATCTAAATTAAATGTATATCGTATGGAAGTTTAAATGATAATTCATTACAGCAATTTCAATTGAAACGTTAATGTTTTTAGAGTCTTTATGATTGCAATCGTGATTATATCAGTTATATTTGTCTATAATTTTTCGTAATATCAAAGAACAAGTTAAAATTGTCATATGATGATTTATTTACATTTTTGGATCCACATTTCGAAGGAACTAATCTTTAATTATGTAATTTACATTTTACTCACACTTCATATAAAAAAATAAAATAAAAAATGACAAAAGTAATTACATGAGGCGAAAACGTGTATCCAAATACACTATTAACTTAAATTGCATCAAATGCAGTCCATGTAATTCATGAATTGTGTTGAAGAAAAAAATGAAGCCGACAAAAATGGTTCTATTTTGATAATATTTCTAAGAATGTAATTTCGCAAGTTTCTATAGATACATTAATTATGTTTGGAAAAGAGACCCAAATATTTAGGTTCTCTTATCTTAAGTTTTATTTTATTTTTGCTCCATTATTCTTGTGTTGCTTTTAATCCATGTGTTGTTCGGCCATGCACAAATATATATGTACCAACCCAATGAAAACCAAAGAACAAGACTCCACTACAAGACATTGACGCTTTCTGGTTCGAATTTAATTCTTCAAAATTCTTTATCATTGCTTTGACCTTAAAGGTTGCATGATTGAACGGCGTATGTGGGTCCTGTCTTCCCATCTTAGAACACCATCATGGCTTTGATTTTCTGCGTTAGATTAAGATATGATCCTAAATTTTATATTTCTTTAGTAAAAGCACTTGAGTGTCTTGCTGTTTTAATTATGTAAAGTTACTCTATGATAGCTGAATGATAGATATCTCTTCAATATAATTCAATTACTGTGTGGCCCATATGAATAATGGACCACAATGTACACCACCAAACTTATTGTACATGGGATATTAAAAAAAAAAAAAATTCATTACGACAATAAGTATAATTAGTAGTTTCATTCTACGAGACAAAAATACAGATTTTCAAGTATGAAACAGAATATGAAAATAATAATAATAATAATAATAATAATAATAATATATAATAGTAATAATAATAAAATGATTAGTCACAGTTATACCAAAAAACAAATATTACATTACACATATTGAGAGGTATATATATTCAATCTAATCTATACAATTTAAAAAGTTGTACACTAAATTCTTCTCATGTGACTAAAGTGAGTGCAAGCTGTGTATGGTATAAAAGTATATCGTACCCTTCTTAAAATTTAATAAACTTATAATAATTTGATTTAGTTTTAGAATCTACAGTATTTTCTGTTGGTCAATCTTCACTAATAAATATTCCCTGCAAATTTTTAATACTTACACTGTTTCGGTACAACATAGAGTTTCAAACAAGTAAAAATGAGCAAAAGAATAAATATTTAACAGTTAAAAATATTTCTATAAAAATCTTATTTTGGCCTATGATTCTAGTAATCTGATACCATATTAAGCATTCCATTAATTAGGTTCAGAGTATGATTATTATAAACTGTAGAATTCTTCCTGCCAAATCTTATCATAACTATTTTTAGATTTTGCAAAAAAAAAAACACTATATTTTAGATATTCAAACTTAAGATTAGTGATTAAGTTAAGAATTTAATTTTAATATATTGTTAAAGTAATATATATATATATATATATATATATATAT